GCATAATATGCTAATTAGACTGGATGACCTTCTGGACAAAGCCGGGGCTGTGAGGGAAGCCCAGGTCCCAGGTGCCTGCCAGTGGCAGGAGGGAAGCCCGGGTCCTGGGTGCCAGAGGGAAGCTGGTGCCCGCAGCCAGGGGAAGGAAGGCCTACTCTTGCACAAATTTCATGCATCGGGCCTCTAGGATACCTAATATATGATAAATCAGAGCTCAAATTCAAGTCTGCCCAACAGCTGGTCCCAAGTTCCGAAGCTCCTCCTTGCTCTTCACAAAAGCCTTCCTTCCTTAACCTAACTCATACTAATAGAGAATAAAATTTCTGAACCCAATGAAACCACACACACACATCCTTTCAAGTTTTATTTATATTTTTTAGTTCAAGAATTACACACTAGCCAACATTATTATATATTTACATGCTGAAACTGACTGTAATAAGTTTAAATTCAAGAAAATAATTCTTATGTGCTACTCATTTATAATCCTCATTTGTTACTATCTCATGTATCCCAGAGATGTTAGTAGTCCTGTTTTTAGAAAGACATGAAAAATAGATGTGATGATATCCACTTATGGTTTGCATTTCCTAGCCATTGGAAAATCTGCATTATGTGCATATTAAGAAAGGCTACAAGGTAAATAGTAAGGCGATAGACACTACATTGTGAAGGAATTAGAATATCACTTTTTATAAAAGGACAATTCAGAACTGCGCAGGGACAATATTCATAACAAAACCATTTAAACACCCATGCAAATAAAAATTAAAAAAATGTTATGGAACTTAAATTACTTGCAACTTTGAATTATGTTAAAAAGGAGTGTGGGTGAACACAAATTACTGAACCTCAAAGGGAAAAACAGTGCAAGGACACACACATGGGCATCAGCTTAGTGGACATGAGACAGGAGAGAGACATTTGCTTTTGAAAGTTAAAAAACACAAAGTTTTGTTTTTCATCATTTTGGATCATAGTTGTCACAAAAGAACTTCTCAAAGCAAATTAATATCTGATGTCACAATTTTGCAAACATCTATAGAAATGTTTTACTTCCCTATGCAAATAACAACAGATATTTAAGAGTACTGCTGCTTTTATGTATTTTTTTCTTAAATGATTTATTTAGGGTAATATCTTAATTAGCATTATGTTGGCTCTTTACTATTTTTGACAATGTTCCTAGTATACCTGGAAAATTGTGTTCATACCTTTGGTGTAAAGCAGTGTCTTTTTTTTATTTTCCCTCATTTTTCATTTTTTCTTTCCTTTTTTGTTTTTTAATAACTGGAGTCTTTGGTTGAAAGAAAGAATACTATCTAAGGACAAAATGCTATTATTAAAAAAAAAAAAGGTCTTCTAGGATGTATTGTGTGTAACAAATTTCTGAAGCATTTATGCATCATAAGCAATTTTATTTCCTGTAGTGCTGTCAATAGAAACTTTTACTCTTTGAAAATTGACATGTAAGTTACAACCTTTGGTTTCTTGAATTCTGACACATAAAAACCCTTTCAAGTAAATGATGATGATTTCTGCTTTTCCCAATTGCCATTTCTAAGGCTCTCTCTTGGTTTGTTACATTCACTACATGAATACTGTGTGTTTCCTATAGAGGGAGTAGGAGTGGGAGTGAGTGGGCAAGGGAAAGAATATTGTGTTTGAATGTGTGGGTAGATGCATGTGTGTGTGTGAGCAAGTGTGTGTGTGTAGATGTGTGTGACTGAGAGTGTGTATGTGTAGATATGTATGAGACTATGAGTGAGTGTGTGCAGTTGTGTGTGAGTGAGCATGTGTGTGTGTTATCAAACTGAAATCCTTCTATCTGGGATCCCAAACCATTTATGCAAAAAGGATGTTTCAATTACTCTGTTGGGGCACTGCAGTAACTGTACTTAGTAAAAAAGAAATAAAAATTGAGAAAAAATGACATAATTATTTTGTATCTATTGACTATTGATTTACAGCATATTTAATTATTTACAGTCTATTATAACACATCAACATAAGCCATAAACAGAATTCTCACACTGCCTTACCATAAAATACAAATTAGAAGTTAAAAATATTTAAGAAATCCGTTTTAATATTTACACACACTCAGTGAAAGTTATGGTTGCTCACATTACGTAGACTCTGTACACTTAGCAAAATGGCATGATTGCTACAGTTGAGATATTTTCCCTAACCAACATGGTGAGGTTTACTTATTTTTTTTCCTCCTCCTGGAAGGATTTTTAAAAATCATTTTCTGTTTTCTTAAGACATTTTTGTTTTTAAATGACCAATGGATAATGTTATTTGTTTCCTTGAAAAAGAGCAAGTAGACAAGCAATGCGAGAGCTAGTGAGTTTCCAATGTTCTGAGGTACAGCACTATTGTAGTGTCGGATTGTGCAATGGTTCCTAAGAACAGTAGGCATTATTTGCTGATAGAGAAATGCTCAGTACCCTGTATCACTTGTTTCAATATGTGGATTTGTGTTGCCAAGTTAAAAGCACTCATACACTGGTCGAATGAAGGAAATAAAAGATATTAGCTTATTCCTTTTGTTTTCCAATGTATGAATGCATATATATGCATGTATATTTATATGGATCTCTCTATATACATATATACATGTACACTGTTGTATGACCTGTTGTTTGTTGATTGCTTGGCTGTTTTGTTGTTGAGTATGAAGTTAATCATAAGACTGGAACACAGTTGTCTATAGAAAATGAAAATTGGGTGAGTTGCCAATTTAATGCAGGTCTGGCTTAAAATAAGCATGATTCATTTCTCCTTTATGCTTTCTACTGAACTTTCTCTATGTGTTGTGCTTTTTTAAGCTGACAGATATCTTTGTTGTTACTAAAGCTACAATGTAAAGTCTTTTGGTTCATCAACTATTATTATTATTATTTTATTTTATTTTTTTTAACCGAGCACTGCTTTTGAAGAAATGAGAAGAGGAAATGTCTAGACAGCACTGCTTATCTTATGTCTTTCCCGTTAGTAAAACTGTAGTGGAAAGAACTGTAACATTCCCTATGCAAACACATGATGTTGTTGCATGAGTTTTCAGTTCTGAAAATGCATTTCATACCTACTAGCAGTCATGTACAATATGTATATATATACAGATTGAGATCAAAGATTTCATTTCGACTGTGAATTTTAGAGTCAGAATTCGCCTATGAATATCACAAAGATGAAAAAACACCTTAATCGCTGGCTATCTGGCTGTTTTATAATTTAAAAAAACCTGTACATAAATGTATAAGCTGATAGTAATAGCATATCAGAATTGCCAAAACACACTTTTGTGGTCCCTAATTTTAACCACTGGATATCAAGCTGACTGGTCTTTGTGGACTTGTAAGATCTAACACCCTTCCCCGACCCCCTCCTCTCAAACCAATTCAACCACAGTAAACATATAGTTGAAGAATAAATTCTATATCTACCATTTGTTACCTCTGGGCAAGATGAGTCAGTTGTTTCTAACTATGTGGTTATTGAATGCCAACATATGGATTCTGCTCTAGAGCATCTGTTCCAGTTTCCATCTTTTCTCCTTTTCCAGTTTCTGCTTATCACTGGGGGTAGAAATGAATCCCTGCTTATATGCTTTTGACGCTCATGCTGAGAGGTTGCTTCTCTCCACTCTGATCTAGATTACTCTGTTGACTTCTTCAGATATCAAATATTTGTTACGTGACAATACCAAGGATTTTTATGGCTTTTACAATAATTACAAATAAGAGCCCATTTCTTGACTTGGGCTCAGGGTTGTTTCTAGAAAAACCATTCCAGAATGGCATGTTGGAGTTGTGCACCTGAGTTATTAATATGCTCCTTCCTGGTATATGCTATTCAGACTAACCCCTGGTGACAAGGGGCAGGCACTTTTATTAGTGTGGTGCCCCCAGATTGCTGCCTACGTGGAAGTGTGTCCCTGGAGAAGCTTAAAGAATCTCTACTCTGAGCCCATGGGCGGAAGCTTGGATGGATTCTGCCCACAGATCATACTCAGAGGTGTTCAAGTGTATAATCAAGAAATAAGGGCCACAGTCCCTGATACAGGTGGGGAGAAAAATACCATCTAATCTTGAGCCAAATTCAGAAGGCTAAGTACTAAACTTTTTTTCCTTCTTCTTGTCAGATACTTGAAATAGAAGGACAATAGGACCTACCCTATTCCAAGCAGCTAAATCATCAGGGGGGAAAAGCATAATATTTATCCACAGTCAGATAATGATCTTGGCTATTATGCAAAATTAGGAAATGTTACTCTGAAAAGAAGTGGTTTTTGTTTTTTAAATACATAGCAAAGTCATGCTCCAAAGAGAAGTTCAATCAAATCAAACTTTACGGAAAATTAAGCAGTTCACTATTTTCTCAATGAAAAAAGCAAAATATAAACCTCACATGAATAGAAATAAAAATATATTAGCTTACTCTTCTTACTGTCCAACATATGAATGCATATGTCTAATTGGTAAAGAACGAAGTACAATGACAATTTAAAAATGGAATAAAAGAATACATCGTGCCTACCTGATTATCAGTTAGACATTTTTCTGCAGTATCAACTGAGGTCCATATCCTTCATCAGTTAATGTGGCTTTGTTATCCTATTTTCCACTCTTATCATATTTTCCTTGACTGAGGAGATTGCAACATACACAATGAAAGCAACCTTAACAAAATAAAACCTAATAAACCCACAAACTAGCTCTACTTGTGCACATAATCTTTGAAGTATTGTTTGCTATAAAAAATAGCAAGGTGAATTTCATTGCACCTAAGGAAATAGAGCTCACTCAATCTCTCCAAAGCCTTACTTCTTCTGTCTCCTAAGAATATAATCAGAATTTCAGAAGCAAGAAAGCTGGAAAGGAACATTAATTCTTTAAATAAGTGAACAAATCCCTCTTTGGAAATACCCTATTAAAGTCAGAAATGAACTTATAGGGAAAAATGTTGCAGAGACAGCTGATGTAGTGTGAGAATAGCAACCTGTTTGCACTTTATATTCACATATTTGATAACTCTCAACCTAACCTGCATCTAAGATGATGCTAATTTGGCTAACTTTTCTCTTTTGTGGGTGTCTTTTAATTAAATAAACTATATAAGCCTCTATAGGCATGCTTTCAAAAGCTTGTGAAGTTGGAACAAAAAAATCTCTCTTTCTACCTTTGCCACTGACCATAATATGTATAAACCAGAAGCTGTGTGGATTGATAAGGGTCATGATACTTGCTTGCTTCAATTTTGTTCCAACAGTCATTTCTGGATTTCCCACTCTGCTCTGGGTTTTTAACTCTTCTTTTAACCACCTAGGGAACAGAGTTTTAGAAAAGTTTCTTTGGTCATCGTGCATGATAACGTTTAGAATTCTCCTGGGCTCTACATGCCAAAATGGAAGACATCATAGTTGATTCCCAGTGCTCAAGCAATCTGAAACTGGCCAACTTGGCTTCCTGAATCTCTGTCTTGACTCCCCACATCTTGTTTGAACTACATGAGAACCTTCTAGAATCCAGTGGGAATTTTCATCCCAGGGCACCATTATCGCCTTAATAAGATGGGCAGAGACCATCTTCTGTAAGCATGTTCACATGACATTGAGGATAATGTTTCCTAAGCATGGTGTCATCTCAGCAGCATGCCACCCTTAGGAAGGAAGATGGGAATATCTGGATATGACTTCTCAGAGACATGACTGATAGTGCTATTGAGCCTTCTAAGAATATCTTCTAAATAATTCCCCTCCGTGTCGCTTGCACACTAAGCAGATGAAGTGGAACACTCAGCCTCAGTCTTGCCAGCATGTGTACAAATCACTTGCATTTTAACTGCAAAATCGCAAGGCCCTTAGTGTACTCATTACTTAGCAGAAGCAACCCAAATGGTATGAAATGGACCACAGGATAGGCCAGCAACTAAGGTATTTTAGCATCACTTTTGTCCTGGATTGATGTGTTTTCCAAGTCCTACGTCAGGCTGTACAACTGGTTTGAGGAGGCATCTAGTCCTTGCTTCCCGAGGGAGGCTATGTTTTAGTTCACATAGTAAAGCCAATAGACAATGTTGAAGAAGGAAAAAACCACTGGGAAGAATATGCGGGACCACCGGTCTATGGCATTCACATCAGTCAAGTCGGGGATGGTGATTTTCAGTTGGGAGGCGCGTCTCCGCAGGCGGCTTTTCTTCTGTGCCACGTGTCGTTCCAGGGCATTTCGGCCAAAAGTATGCCTGGGCAGCCCGGCTTTCCGATACTGGATGTTGGCTGCATCGTAAGCCAGCATTGTGCTCCTGGGGTCTCCAAGTCCCATCACAGCCTCAGATGTGGCCATTTCATTTTTTATCTCTAGAGTGCTCAGTAAGATGTTCTCGTGGGGGTCCATCTGCAAGAGAGAAGAATCAAATGAGACAATCAAGACAATAAACCTTTTAGATGCTCATTATTGAAGGGCATTATGATATATAGTTTAGGTAGTACAGTTGGCCCTTGAACAACATGGGTTCTAAATGTATGGGCCCTCTTATATATGGATTTTTTTTCAATCAATACCAATACTGTTTTCAATCTGAGGTTGAGAGTCTGTAGATGTAGAGGGTCAACTGCATGCATTGATGTATATGTCATTTTATAGGGAACTTGAGCATCTTCCCATTTAGGTATCTGCAGGAGGTCCTGGAAAAAATCCCCTGTAGTTACTAAGAGACAAGTTTAGTTTTGGGGGAATCCAAAGTTAGACATGGACTTTTAACTGTCAAGGGTGGGTCCCCTAACCCCTCTGTTGTTCAAGTGTCAACTTGGTATTATCATAGTGGTTAAGAGAACTGGCTTTGTGGTTACATTATCTAAAGTTGAATTGTGGTCCTGACATCATAAGCTATGTGAATTTCAGCTTCTTCATCTATCAAACGATATGGTAATCTAACCCTAGAAGATTGCTATTACGGTGTCATGATATAATAGACTATTGCTAGTACAATTTTCACTATTTCTACTTAGGAGATACAGAGACATAGAAGGCATGATACCTTTTAAATAATTTATAGTCTTGAAAATAATACATAAAATATTAAGCTGTACTAGATATAAAATACTATTAGGGGATTAATTACTAAATTTCAGCGCTCATGCTAGTAGCCTAATTACAGATGAATTCATGATAAAACTAAAACTAAAAACAGTAGGTAATATTTATTAAGCATTATTTTTGTGTAACTTCATTTAATTGATGCTTAACACCCACACTTACAGATGTCCACCTTAAATTTGTAGCGTCGATATGAATAAGGTAAAAGAAGAATTTTGAACAATATAAATGCAGGCAACCTGTGACTTGTCAAAATGCAATAGAACTCAGAATAAGAAACTTGAAAAAAGACAGCTGTGGGTGGTGGGGTGGTGAATGGGTGAGGGGTGAGGGACTGACTTGAGAGGGAAAGGAAGGAGGCAGGATTCGAGAAGAGAGTCAGCCAAGAGTTGGGTGTACTGAGTTGAATTCTGGGCCCACGGAGTAGAATTAAGGTGGCTGTGCTGACAGGGTGATCCTTTTCTCTCTTGGATGATTTCTTATTGGCCACGCTAAAAGTAAAGAATGAATACTGACAGCATGGTTCCCAAAGACTGAGTGATTTATAATATTTTTTAAAGAAGGGACAATTTGTGTCTTATTTTTAAGAGGCCCAATAGCTATAGATAATAAAACCTAGCCACAACACATTATTCTTAATAGCAGGTTATTTTTATTTTGGTGGAGAATCAGGATATACCAACTTCCAGTAAAATTTTTGAAATTACAAAATAAAAGAAAAATGGCCAATGATAGGAACTGATGATATATGGAAGCAAGGCATATAACCAAACACTTAATTGGAAGATATAATGCTCTGAGCTTCATTAATTATGCAGAAGGCAAAAAGAATGTTGCTGAGATTATATATTATCAATTAGCTTTCAAATGTGGTTTAATGACCCTGCATTATAAATTCAAATCTGAACTCCTTTGAGAAATAGAGGCTATAAAACATGTGGGAACATAATAATTGAGCAATTAATCTCTGCCCACTGATCAGATATTCTCTATGTTTGGTTTATGGTAGTATTTTGCTGAGTGGAAATGTTAAACAAATATATTTGTAAGAATAATTTTAAAAGTTTATAAGATTTGGAAATTAAGCCCAATAAATGTTGAAACACTCGGTCAAGAAAAGGCCGGGTAATAGCTTTAATGATGGGTTTGATGGCCCTTCAGAGGAAAGGAATATTTAAAGTTGCCTACTGTGTACCAGTCCTTTGCAGAAGTCTCACTGAATGCTCAAAACCATCCTTTGGAAAGAAATTTTTTCTAGGTTATAAGTGAAGTCATTCACCAAATTGCCCAAAGTCTTAAATGGTAGAGCTGGAACCCAAACCTTGATCATCAGGGTCCAAAGCTTGTGGGGGGGAGATGACTGGGACTTTCCAAATTCAAGGAGGTGAGGCTGATGGGAAGGGGAACTCTCTACCCCTTGTTATTTCAGATGGCTCTCTTTCTGTTATGCTTTGGGTTGTTAACTGTTATTTTAACTACCTAAGAAATAGCCACTTTGTAAAATCTCCCTTGTCTACTATGCATGATGATATTGGGAAACTCTCCCGCTCTAAGCAGCAGGATATGTGCTTTTCTGCTGGGCAACTGTTAATAAGACCATTTATGAATATATACCAGACATGACTGGGGAAAAATATAAATTGATAATAATAATCATAATAAAATAATAGGAGCAGTGGAGTATTATTAAGGGAAGTTTAGTAATGTTCTAAGTTTAGAACAAATGATTCCTGACTAATTTGTATAATTTTGGTGAGTTTCTGTTTCATTCTCTATGAAATTCAAAATTTGACAGATGAGATAATTCTGAAGGTATATTTATTTTTTTCATCCACAATCCCAGTACTGGATTAGAATCACAATCTTCGAGGGAGGTATAAGACCACAAGATTTTTGCCTGGTGAATTTTCCTTATCCATCATTCCTCTGTTACCCCACACATTTTTCAAGTGACTGGTAATTATACATTGAATGGAACTAAAAGGCACACTTTTTATTAATTAAATCTAAAAGAAATTTGATGCAGCAGGCTGAATGCTTAAATATATGTGATTTTGACCACTATTTAGTGATGTTTAAAAACCTGGATTTAAATGTCCTTCAGGTAGGCCTGTATTTTTCAGTCTAGTTCACTACAGGGACAACTTTTTTCCTACTTTCCATTACATCATCTCCACAGCCTGATTGGGTCATATGAATTCATGTAAGCAAGTTCTATTTTGAATACTTCTTTGCCCCCACTGTAGTGGTCAGTGTTAGGGATACACAGCAACAGGGGATAGTCCCTGTCCACGTTTGCCATCACAAGGGAACGAGGGTTCTGTGAGATCATAGCAACAGGATGTAAGCTGGTGAAGGGAGTCAGCAAAAACTTCCCTAAATCCACCTAGATTTTCTGCATGAAGGACACCAGGGCTCAGGGTGAGCCAGGATTAGAGCCGGCTCTCACGCTGAAGTCAGTGTTCTTTCCACTCTGCTTGTGGAGGTTAGAAAGGCAGGGACCCAAAGAAGGACCAGGAAGAGCAGGCGCATCCACTCACTGGACAGCTCATGCTATTGAATATCCTCACACTGCTGATCCTGTATTAATCATGACCTTTAGAAAAACTGTATCTTCTGGGGTCCTTCAGAGAGGAAAAGCCTTACTCCTCCCTTTCTGCTTCTGAGATCTACCTCTAAAAACTTTGCTATCACTAGAACAATAACCTAAAACCTCACCAAGCTCATGTGATTCACCCACTAAGCCAAGCGATTTTTTGCGGGTGTCTGAAGCAGAGTATCTTTCTCTTGTAATGACTAATAAAGTAGGGTCACGCAGGTCACTGGTCTATAATGAATGAATTCATTAATTCAATCCCTTAATAGGGAATCATTTTACTAAGGAAACCTTGAGCCATGTACTAATGTGCTCTACCCACGTGAATTTAAAAATCAAAGCCCAAAACAACAACATTAGGCTGTTCATATCTGAGAGCCACCGGTGTCCACTTCATAGGGGCCTCACCCTAGAGTGAAAATATTTACTAGAAAGAGTTGAAGGTTTGAATCTGCAAACATAAATTTAAATTACTGCTTTGCCACTTAATTAGCTTCTAGCTATCCATGAATTTCTGGGGTTGATGGAAAGGATTGTTTATGAAATGCTAATAGTACTACCTCCGTCCTCATAATATGTTGTGATATTTCAAGCCCTTTATGATAGCATAATAGAAACAAACAAACAAAAAAGAGTGAAAATCATCCCAGTTCTTTTTTATTCTACTGGCGTTTCTTAAAAATGACCACCTTCTTGCAGCTACCTGGGTATTGCAACAGAGTTCACCTATATTTACATTCTAGTTCTAAAATCCACATTTGCTGACTTTTTCTCCATTTATTTTGGGGGAGGGATTTGAAAAGTCAAAGTTGGTGGCCTTCTCTTGCTCTCCTAGAATCCCCATGTTATATTGTGGTTGAGTGAACGTTCGTTCACCTCTTAGAATACTGAGTGCACACTAGGTAGTGCTTTCCTTTGGAAAGAATGCTCTGGATATTCCCAGGTGGTTAACAGTTCACTGCCTTAACATTTCAAGTTACTCAGCTCACAATGTCATTTTATGGGAGAGAAGAGAAGATTTCTCACCCACACACTAGTGATAGTAAGAGGGAATTGCAGAGTTAAGATTTCTTGGATTTTTGCAGTTTCTCACTCTTCTACTAAGAAATTATCTGGGGCTTACAAATCCTGTTGTTGTAATTATTTGCCATTTATATTTGTTACTAGAGGCCCAGTGCATGAAATTCGTGCACAGGTTGAGTCCCTAGTGGCTGCCAGCTACTGGCCAGGGCCTCCCTTCCCCTGGTTTGCCAGCAGGCCCCACCCCCTGGTTGAACTCCCAGTTGAACTCCCCATTGAGGGGATAATTTGCATATTAGGCTTTTATTATATTTGTTTTAGTAACACTGCCATTAGCATCAGTTATTTTATCTTTATTACATACAGTGTGTACAAGCTTAAAAGTATAGTGGTCCCTCAGTGTCCAAGGGGAATTGGTTCTAGAAGCCCTTCCCCCTCAGATACCAAAATTCATGGATACTCAAGTCCTTTATATAACATGATATAGTATTTGCATATCATCTATGCACATCCTCCCTTGTACTTTAAATCATCTCTAGATTACTTATAATACCTAATACAATGTAAATGCTATGTAAGTAGTTGTTGTACTGCATTTTGTGTAGGGAATAATGACAAGGAAAAAAAGTCTTTCCATGTGCAATACAGATGCAACCATCATAGACCTAACCACATAGTACAC